TCAATAATAAGGTCGATTCAAAATGCTTTCGGACCTTAACTTTAAAAAGACAAAAAGCTAACCTCAAACCATCATTGAATTTACTGCAATGATTTAAATGAAAACTTTCAAGTTCCAAACCAACATTTTTTCTCCCTCTCATTCCCATTCAAATATAAAATCTGATAAGTTTTACATCCCCTGTAAAACCAGACAGGCTTCAAGTCTATAGGCGGTGCTATAAATTATTCCTTCAAATAATAAAAAGAAGCTCCATAAATGAGCTTAAAAGCTTCGAGCAATAAAAGCGGAGGGCGATAGAAGAAATCTGAGAAATAACATCAACAAATTCAATTAACCCAAAAGAGTATGGTTGTAAGGTATAATTGCCTCTTTAAAGGAATCTCTAGAAAATATTAAATTCATACAGTTTGTGCTGCATTCGAAACAGTTTCAATTATATTTTCATTATTGTGCTGAATACAACCAATTTTCTTTGGTAGAGTCCGTTATGATATGTTTCATTTGAGCTACAGCATCGAGACGCTCAGAACAATGCATTTGACGTCATAGAGAAAACAAGAAAAACTTTTTTTAATGCTCATCATTTTTTTTTTAATATTCAAACATAAAACTTTTTTTTTCTTCTTTTCACTTTTTCTTTTATTTCTGTATGATGAGATAATTTGATGAAAATTTAATTGGTTCTTCATATTTTGCCATAAACAATGTATCTTGTATTCATAATCTTTAGGTTTTATGCAACATTATGAATTATATATTAGCTGCTCAAGCGTAAAAATGTTTCTTTTTTATAATTTAAGATGTCGAGTGTATATTGAGGTTATGTTTTACATCTGATAAGCTATGCTTTTAATTCCTTTGGTATAGAGAATCAATAATTTAAAGGATAACGAAATGATCCCAAAAACTGGAACATTAAACTTTACTCGATAGGAAGCAAATTTTCATTGAAGCCAAAAAAAAAACAATGACGGTAAATTTACTATCAAAGCGCCAGTATTCCTAAAGGAACGATCGCCAAAATGAATTTTCATCTTCTCCAGCTGCTTTCATCACAAATTAAGGTCAAACTGGTTGAATTTTATGGAATTTTCTTTATAAACAGTCTAAAAATATTTCTATTTATGTTTACTCGTAAGACATAAACTTTAATGAGCTTTAATGAAGTAGAAGAAAGTTTATTGATTTACTCAGAGTTGAACAGGAGTAGAATGGGAAAATTTATCAACATGTTGTCATATTTTATAATTTTCTCATTAATATACAAGATGTACTTTCTGAATTAATTGCTTTATACTTCCTTAATTATGTACGGCTTCTTGTTTTATAAATAATTACATTGAAATAATCTTTTGTTGATCTACATTGTTTGAATTATGAAACAAGACTGAATTTAATTTCAATTAAATTGGGTTTGTCACTCCTTTCTGTTTACCGAAATTGAGGGGGATTGTCACTATATCTATTCATTAAATTTCAAACAAATTTAAGTCGCTATAAACTAAATAAATATTTCAGCAATTCACAAGTAAGACTACAATGAATAAACATGTCCCCATTGTCAGCTAAAAGCTCATAAACAATTCTAAATTATGAACATTTTGAAGGTGACGCATCCGCTTTTCACAAAACACTCGTGACATGATGATGATGGGTTTGTAGAAGAAAAAATAACTTTTTTGCACACATTTTTCCCTCACATAATAAAAACTAATGTAAATATTTTTATAATATGTAATTCAAATAAAACATTTCCTCTCTTTTTTATGGCTATATATCTTTTTAAAGAGTCTAGAGCACACAAATTATATTAGGCTACTAAATGATCAATGTAAATTGGGTGAACCTAGGACACTTTTTTATGGTAATGATGTGAATTTTATGGTTTTTCTTTTTCAATTCGCTTTTAATCCTTTAATATTGAAAAATCGTTATTGTTTTTAATCTAGTCCATTAGGGACTTTTGTTTTAGATTAAATACAGCTCAGCAAAAGGACGGAAAAGCTCGTCTGCTTATCGGATGTTTTTTATAATTTTTATTTTTAATCTAAAAAAATGAACCTTTTAATTGGAAGCAACAGAACTTCAACGTGAGGCATTATCTCCGTCATTGATTTTTCTCTTTATACATCTTTTCTCCCTTTTTTGCTGTGCGGTTTTCGAGGATCAAACGGTATTACTATCCATAAATTGTCAGTCGATGTTCTTTTATTTATTTGTCCATGACTGTTATTCAGTTTGTCACTTAAGCTCGATTCGTATTGCAATTGACAGCTTATGGGAATGATATTATTGATCTCTATGGACTTTTTGTTTAGATAATACAGTACATTATAGCTGTTAATATATTTTGGTAAAGCTTATCTGTAGGTTGAGCATTTAGAAGGAATTATTGGATGTTGTAAACTTTATAGCTGGCATCTGCAAGTTTTACTAGTTCTATAACAGTGATTTGTCTAAGGATTCCTTTGATTTTCAATCAGAATCATCCAAAAATTATTAAATGGAAGTAAATTTCAAGACATTCAATTCCCAAATTGACCAAATCAATTAAAAAGGCAATCTTAAGTCGTCAACATGACTTACAACTGCAAGAAAATGAGAAACCACTCACTGACAATCAAATGTCAAGCCTAGATCAAGGAAAATGTCCTGAATACAGTAATTTTCAAAAGGAAATGCGTTCAAGTCATCCATTAAGCAAGAAATAAAATAACAAAAAAAAAAGCTTTCATAATTCCTTTCTCATTTTTCCCATTTTCCTCTCCTTTTTTCCATAACCCTCATTCTAAAATGAAAAACAAGCTTTTCAAATTTTTGTTCTTCTTTCTTTTTTTTTGCGCTACACAGAATATACACACCACATTAATTTTTTCCCCATTCTGTTCTGGTCGAGGCACCAAATGTACATTTTTATCGATTTTGAGGAGTTTATGTGGCTTGTTTTAATGGTCACATAAGCACCGACATAAAATTGAAATTTAGATATGAAAATAATGACTTTAAAAAACCCGTGAGTATCAACAAGTCTCTTTAAATTATTGCTCAGTCTGTCAAAAATATATATATATTTTTTTTTTCTATATCCAAGTCTTGACTGTGAATAATAAAAATATTATGATTATTTTTTCATACGCGGAATTTTTTGTTTGCACGAAAATGAGACAGTCGACGTTGACCATGTAAATATAATCATATACAGAAACTCTAAGCGGTCTTTTATGCTGGAATAAAATCTCTCATTTAAAACCAAAATTTTATGAGAAAGAATAAAAGATGATGTTGTTTAGAGCACACAACACAAAGATAGATTCTATTGTGTTTGTGATCGATAAAAAGAAATCGGAGATTGACGTTGTTGGAGTAATGGACAAAAGTGAGAAATAAATTGATGTGTACAGAAATGTGATGTTTTGCACAATTGTTATTATGTTTCAGATACTTCTGTAAGTAATTTACGGGTACTATTTTATTACTCGGGAGGAAAATTGGATCTGGAAAGTTTATATCGTTGATTTGATTGAATTATCCCGAATGGCACAAGTTGGGTAATCGATCAGAAATCCGGCATCAAGAAAGGGTGTGGAACTGAAGAATTACATTTTGATCATTTTTGATAATTTTTTTGATCATTTCATCAGTACCACACCCTTGCATCAAGCCGGTGTGACTCTGGCATGAGCTGGATTTAAATCAAAGGGCAATTCTAATAGTAAAATGGCAAAAACTATTAAATTTTATCTATTTAAGTCTTTGAAAGTAGCCAATAATTAAGTTTTTTCAATTTTTTTTGCAAATTACTGTCAGCAAAAAATGGAATAATCATAAGGAGAATCGAAAATTGAAGGAAAGTAAACACTCATTTTTTATTATGATTATGCAGAAATGTAGTTTTTGAGCTAATCTATCTAACCATAATCTTATCACACTCCAATAATTACTATTTAAAGAGAATTTTTGATTCTTCGATGGATTTTTTTGCTGACAGTAAAAAAATTAAGCTTTTATTTTGCAAATCCATGAAAAAAATGTCAAGCAAATATTTCATAAAAATTAAATTTTAATCTTAATTTAACACTTCATGGTTGAATTATTGTTGATTCAGTAAGAATCAATCGTAATAAACAGTTTAAAGTTGCTTTAAACAATCAAAACAAAGAAATTGACAAAATATTTACAAAAAAAAATTCAAAGTAAACAGTAAATGACTTTGGATTATAAAAGCTCTTTTTTCAAAAACTCAACTCATCTGGAGAATTGCCCCAAAGCCAACACCATGCCAGATTCAAACCGGATTTCTGATCGATTAACCGACTTGTGCTTTTTGGGGATGCGAAAGACCTAAACTTATTGATGAGAAATCTTAACCTTCAAAAAATAACACAACTTTATCCTACATTGTACAAGTTTCAGTCGCATGCTCTTATCATTGAACTATCGGATAGTAGACTATATTGCAGGATACCTTATATAAGTTGCAATATTTTCTGATACTTTTGCTAAACTATGATTAATCGCTAACCGGCATTTAGAAACTATACAACTCCAAAACCATTAAGTTGCAAAGCCGGAATTAAGAGTTTCTCGAAATTTACTTAAACTTAATAAAATGCCATTTATCCAAAAACTAATGACTCAATTTCATTTGTATTCTCTATCCTCTTTCCTCTCTTTTGTTTTCTAAGAATCGACAGCCATAACCAAAATTAATCAAATTACGTCAAAATTTCTAAGAATATTGTTCATAAACAAACAATTATTTTGGCAAATCAACACTTATGACAAGATTACCGCCATGAAGCACCAAAATTATTCAAATTCAATTCCACTTCCATTGAATTTCTATAAGACAAGTTTCTGTCTCAACTTGTGTATCAAAAGAACGGAAAAAATCAATTTTCAGAGAACATGCATATTAAGTAGCTTAAGAAACAATACATGATTGAGATCCTATTATACAGTATAGAAGAATTATTTACTCAAGACATTCTACATACCAAATGAAGTCTTTGCAATGACTACAGAACGTTGGCTGCTTGAAGAATCGCGGAATGAATCGATGATCCTTAACGTTGTAGACATTCTTCTTCTTTAAAGCTCCCTTACGTCCGCGATTACGAAGAGCTAGCTTGTTGTCTTGATCATTTTCCACGTTATTTTCCTCTTCTGCCATTTTTGAATCGTCAAAATTTTTTACAATTCACGAAAGATTTTCACTAAGATTCCTTTTAATCACTCAGTTATTTACACAAAAGCTAAGAACTTTTATTATTATTATTTTCTCCTCTCTTCCTCGTTTCAAGGAAAAACTTTTTTATTTTTTTCTTTTTTTTGAGGAGGAAAATATGCAAAAAGTGAAGGAAGGAAGCGAAATCCTCTCGAAAAAAAGAAAATATTCTCTTCTGTACTAATATGAAGTGTGATAGTTGAACTTTAATGGATTTATCCTTGTAACACTCACGATAGATTCTCTAAGACTATATGAGAAAAAAAGCACGTTCTCATCCGAAATGAGAATAAAAGATCTTTTTTTTAATATTATATGGCACACGCAGTAATTTCAATGAGAAAAAAAAAATACAGAGCGGATACTTCCAGTTGGGAAGATAAAATTGGAAATGATACAAAAAAAGATGAAAAAATATTTATACAAATTTTATTTTCTGTAGTTATGGCTTTCGCCTCAATCGTCCTACTGTATTGAATAATATGCTAATTTAATATGTGTCGGGTGCTGTAATTTAATTATTCTAATTCACTAAGTCTCGCCTTCCTTCCCTTCGATATTTTTTTGTCGAACAAACTATATAAAACGCCACTAGAACAGCTTAAACTCCCTCATCAATAAACTTTTTTTTTCTTTTCAATAAATGCGAAACGAACAATTTTACAGCAAGTCTGAACGCGATGAAATCCTACACGAGAATGAATGTGAATTGGAATTTCTGTTGAGAGTTTTTTTTTATGTTTCGATTTATGCATGAGAGATATAATTCTCCTTTATATCCATTGGAAGGTAGACGATACGAGCAGGCGCAACACTGGAAGTCTATTTTTCTTTCTTTTGTTGATGTACTGAAATTATTTTATTTATTTTTGTTAAATTTTTTTTTTTATAAACATTTTGTTCGCGATTCTTTTATCTTTGCCATTTATTGGGTGGTTAATACTGTAAATTATCCGACAATAATAATCAATTCTACAAAATATTGCGATTGCTTAACCTTTCTACGTCAATTTCATTAAAGTTTACATTTATTTTGCTCAACAAGTTATTTTTTGACAGTCTCTTCTATTTTGACCCACACAGAGGCACATTTACTTATTTAACTCTTCATGATATCACGATTCTTGTAGGTAATAATAATGTGAGAACAATAACTTGTTATGGACTTTTCTTGTTTCTTTATTTTGATTATCATTTAAATTGAACATTCTGTTCTTGGTGTGTGTATTTTATGTTATGACTTAAAAGTTTTTAATTACTCTTACGTCTTCTGCGAAATATCAGAAATAGATCGTTCTCTTGACGTTATAAGTAGAGTAGAATGGCTATAGGAATTCCCCTCCTTGAACTGAATTTTACGTAATGAAATCTGCGTCATTTCATGGTTAAACCCCAGTAAAGCATCAATGCAGCACAACTTATACTGTTCTTTGAATTTTTAAATTGATCTACAGTTTAATTTATTTTTTTTTTTGATTTAAAAGAAAAGCCCGCAATAGAGGATGAATCTCAAGACTAAATTTAAGGTTAAGATGATCCAAACGTAAAAAAATTCACTCTTTAGCATTTAACATCCACTTTTTGGTTAAGTTTTGAAATTTATTATCATTGAATTTTAAGATAAAACGCTATGGATATCTATTTCCCGAACATACAAAGAGCATGCCCAGAAAAGTGAGTCTACTCAAAAATTATACTCATGCAAGCTCATTCAACTGAGCATGCTCAGGAGTTCATTACGAATGTACTCACTTTATTTTTTTGCAAAAAATTTATAAGCTCACGTGAGTACATTCAACGAGTGTACTCATGAGAATATTGCGAGCACACTTATGTGAATATACTCGTATGAGTGCACTTACTGAACATTCTCATGAGAATATTAAAAACATACTCACTTCTGTGTGACATAATTTTTTTTACGTTCTCATATGAGTGCGCTTACTCAACATGCTTATGGGAATATTAAGAACATGCTCATGGGTGTTTACTTTTATGACTCTTACATAATTATATCTATATGACAATTTCAAAAACGTCGATCAACTTAAAATCGAACTTAGAATACATTTTCATGCAAGTCGACATTTTTTTGAAAAATGTCGACCAACTTAAAATCAAACTTAGAATACGTTTTTATGCAGGTCGACATTTTTTGAAAATATTTTATGAATTCAAATATTAGTTCCATGAAAGCCAAAAGATTTTGATCGTGCTTAATTCTTATAGTTTTTTAAAAGCAAAGTAATTTTTAATTTAATTCCTTGAGAAACTCTTGACATTTAATTCAGAAAACTTAAAACTGTAAAATGTTTCGTGCATTTTTGTATTACATATCTAAAATATTCAACATTTGCTTTTAAGTTGGTTGACAATTTTTTTAAAAATAACATTTCAATATTTCACACAATTATCCTTATAAAACTCAAATTTAACTTAATTAATTTTTTTGAATTTTGTGACTTTAACTGATTGTACTCATGAATGTGCTCAGATGAGCATATACTCATAAATAAACTCACTGAGCATATATCTTTTGAGTATCTTCATGATTATAAGCTCTTTGAGTATGTTTATGAGTATATACTCTTTGAGAATGTTCATAAATATATTCAATAAAAAATGTTGCATTAAAAAAATGTTGCGTGTGGCATGTTACTTTCTCATTTGAGTATGCTCATGAGTTTACTCAGTGAGCTTAATGCATGTCACATAAGAATGTGCTCACTGAGCATACTCAAAAAGGTACCGTGATCGCATCACTTTAATGTATGAAATGAGCACATTCTCACAAAAGTTTGCAAGCTCACAAATAATGTGCTCTGAGTATACTCATTGTATGTTTGGGATTTGTTATATTTTCGGTGAAATAAAGAATGCAAAATTTCTAAATGACTTTGTCAAAACTAGTTTTAAATGCGCAAATGTTATCTTTCCGCATCTTTTCGGTTTTAGAAACTTTATCATTACTTTTAAATGTGTTTACTAATTTGACTTGATGTAATTAAGTTTGTTTTGAGAATCTAACATCGATAAACTTTCATATTTTGATGACTTTGCTGCATTCTTAAACTGTTTGACTAACTTTATTGATGAATTTTTAAGTTTAAATAGGTTTAAATGTTTCTTATTGGGTTCTAAAATTTAATATTTTAATATTTTTGATGGAACTGAATCTTACAAATTTTTATATGGTGATAAAAATCACGCAATTTCTTTCTAAGTCAATTTTAACATTATTAGCAAACCTTATATATTGTCAATTAATCTGCCTTTGCAACATCGATCTTAAAATTTCTAATAAAAGCTACTTACGGCTCAATTATTACTAGTTTCTACTGGATTTTAATTTTATTCATGCATCGGTCATCAGATTTTGACTCGATAATGAGAACGACCTTGATCACATCTTCTCTATTATGAAGTTAAGTTTCTTGAGAATGAATATTTAATTTGTTTGTATTTGTGAATCTTTTGAAAAAGTGTTTCAAGGTTGAATAAAGCATAGATTTAACATATTATTATAAGATGGAGATAATTGGATATTCAAGGTTTTATAGACACGAAGAGGTTTAAATACGAAAAAGATCAAAAACTCACCTGGATCAAAGAATTCACTAAAATCTTGAAGATAACACAAAAGCACAGATTTTTTTCAAATTAAAATATATTTTGCATGCTATTCAAGTTACTCTAATTAACAATAATAGTAAAATATTGATAAAATCTCATTAAAATATCAATCAAGTTCCTTAGATGAATCTTATCAATTATTTCATGCCATTAAAAATGAAAAATCTCAAATCGTAAATTATATTATCAAAAAAATGATTATCCTTAATTAAGTTTTTGATCTGACAAGATAAATAGAGAAGCTTTAAATCATTCAGAAAGAACAACAGACAGACGTTGATACTTTCAGCAATTTCCTTAAAATTATTTGATTCTGATTACAACCATGTTGAAATATATATATATATTAAAAATTATTAAAAGATTGCTTATGAATATTATTGACTATATCCACCAAAAGTAGCAGCCTCATTCGACTATGTTTTGATCCATAACATCCAGCGATTTGTTCTACATTCGATCATGATCCTCAATAGTAACAATTATCTTTGATTTTGATATGGCAAGCCCAGATAGTTCCTTTACAATATCATCTGTATCTTTTCGGATATCCAACGATTGATAATTTTCTCGTACCTTTGTCTGGAATTTCAGTGAATCAAGATCTTTTCTAAACTCTTCGTATGTTGGAATTGTTTCCATTATTGGTGATCGTTTAGCTTCAGCCATGCCTTATTGTGATGCTTATTAGTAAAATAAATTGGTTTCGAACGGTTCTGTAAAGATAATTAAATTAATGATTAATTTAAGACTTTCTAACCTGGATCTTTTGGATTAGATTAAATATTTCGATAAATCTCAAGATTTATGACTGGATTTAACTGTCATCTAGTACTTTATACTTACTTTTAAAAAATAGAAGCCTTTAGGATGATTGTTAAGCAGATTAAGCCTTCGAAATGATTAATTTAACTTCAGAATTTTGTTTATTGTTTTCTTTTTTTCAAAAAACTAAAACTTTTTATTCAGGCAGATTAACATATTCTCTAATACAGAGACGGGATAGTGTTTATACACGAATTTGTGAAAGTTGTAACTGTATTAGTGGCGTATTTTCATTGTATGTGTAATCATTTCAAAACGTTTGAAACAAATCAAAACAAACAAGAAATTTAATTAAAATACAGTAAATATGTCTCTAGCTGATGAACTACTAGCTGATTTAGAAGACGATAATGATGAGGATTTAGAGGAGCTTAAAAAGGAGAAGGATGAAAGTGATGGTAAGTGAAATTTACAAATTTTTTAAATGATCCGGATATTAAACTTTATTTTCATGTTTTAGACAACAACGATGAGCCGGAAGATGAAAAGCCTGAGTTTGAGGAGAAAATGGATGTTGACATTAAGGTTGAATCCGTTAGAGATATCTGTAAACTTCATGATTCCGTTAGACTTAAAAAGATCCTGGAAGATATAACCCACTATGAAAGCAGGCCAAGACAGGCATCAGAGATGATTGGAAATCTTGAGAGTGATCCAGAATACCAACTTATCGTTGAAGCTAATAATACAGCAGTGGAAATAGACAATGAAATATCAATAATCCACAAATTTGTCAAAGATAAGTATCAGAAAAGATTTCCAGAACTGGATTCTCTGATTATGCATGAAATGGATTACATTTGGGCTGTCAAAGAGCTCGGCAATGATTTAGATCAAGCAAAGAACAATGAAAATCTGCAGAAAATCCTCACACAAGCCACAATTATGATCGTGTCAGTTACTTCGTCTACAACTCAAGGCCAATTGCTTACAGGAGCAGAACTCGAAAAGATTAACGAGGCATGTGACATGGCATCAGATTTAAACAATTTTAAGGTAAAGATTTACGATTACGTTGAGAGTAAAATGACATTTATTGCACCCAATTTGAGTGCTATTGTCGGGGCAAAAACAGCTGCAAAGTTATTGGGTAAGATAGCAAGCCTTAATTAATGCCAAAACACGTTTGTAACATTTATCTTCATTTCAGGTCTTGCCGGTGGCTTAACAAAGCTATCAAAAATGCCAGCATGTAACATTCTCGTCCTTGGAGCTCAAAAGAAAGTTTTATCTGGTTTTTCAAAAGTTGCTATGCTTCCACATACTGGATTTGTCTATTATTCAGAAATTGTTCAAGATGCAATTCCCGAATTGAGACGAAAAGCAGCACGACTAGTCGCAAATAAGGGAGCATTAGCAGCACGAGTTGACGCCTCACACGAAGCTGTTAATGGTGAAATTGGAACAGCATTTAGAGAAGATATTGAGAAGAAACTTGATAAGCTACAGGAACCACCTCCAGTAAAATTTATTAAGCCACTTCCGAAACCACTTGAAGGTGGTAAAAAGCGTCGTGGAGGTAAACGTGTAAGGAAGATGAAGGAACGATACGCAATGACTGATTATAGGAAGCAAGCAAATCGTATGAACTTTGCAGAAATTGAGGATGATGCTTATCAGGATGATTTGGGATATACTCGCGGTACAATCGGAAAGAAAAATACAGGAGGAATTAGAATGCCTCAAATTGATGAAAAGACGAAAGTCAGAATCAGTAAAACATTACAAAGGAACCTTCAACGACAAAATAATGTCATCGGAACGACAACAACGATCAAGAAACACATTTCAGGTACAGCATCCAGTGTCGCATTTACACCACTTCAAGGTCTCGAAATTCATAATCCTGGCGCTGCTGAGAAGACATTAAGTGAATCAAATTTAAAATATTTCTCAAATACCTCCGGTTTCATGTCGGTCGGTAAGAAAGCAATGTGAATTATTGTCTCATAAATCATGTCTCGAGTTACTTTTCATATTGTTTATTAATAAAAGATTTTTTAAATATAGATCTCTTAACACGCAAATTACTCTTTTTGTCATGTGCTGTAAAATTTAATTGAATGGAAAAAGTGACGTCAATTGAATTTGGTGAAATGAGTTTTTAATAATCAATGAATTTCTACGTAAAGTGTCCTAACTGCGATGCGGCTTAATTGAATCTTTTCCGTCTCATATCGTATTGGTTCATGGAAAAATTTGAGGCTCTTTGGAAATTAAACGCGTTTAACGGCTTTTTTGAATTTGAAATTTAAATGCTATAAAAAATTAAGGAAAGTTGCTATAAAAGCCTACGTAAAGTTATTATAAAGCTTACGTATTGCTGCTATAAAACGTACATAAATTTGCTATAAACATTTACGTATTGTTGCTATAAAACGTACATAAATTTGCTATAAACATTTACGTATTGTTGCTATAAAACGTACGTAAAATTGTTATAAAAACGTACGAGAAGTTGCTATAAAATGCTACATTTTAAATCAAATCAATCCAAACTGCCCCATATCCGAAAAATCTAGCTTTCAGTTTTTATGGCAATTGATATAAATTGAAAGATGTGAAAATGAGTTTAAAAATATTAAACGTTAATTTTCCAGAAACTACGCATTTTAATTTAACCGGTTCAATCAATTCATTGTGATACATTATTCTTCTTAAATACACTATATTACTTCCAATTAAGCTTTTGTCGCATTTGCAAAGAAAAAAATTCCGCACATGAATTGGAATTTATTATGGATCTAAAGTAAATCAATTTGTTACGGTCGACTTTTATGGGCTTTTTGTGTGTTTTTTTGCGACGTACACAAAAAATGTGCCATGGGAGATGATTGTCATCTAAATGTAATGGATCAGTGATGATGGCTCTTTACATGTGGAAAGTCGTCTATCAATACATTTCAATGACAATGTTGCATCGAATGTGACAAACGAATATTTGATCTTTTAGCCGCTTTTTACGAGGTTTTCATTGCCATTTTGGTATGATTGATTATCCACTGACTGGATGTTCCTATGTTGATATAGTTTGAAGGTTTAATAATTCCTTAGGTTTGTTAGGGGCCGTTCACTTATTACGTTCGCATTTTAGGGGGGAAGGGGGGTTTGAAAAATTGTAACAAAATGTAACATATTGGGGGGGGGGGGGGGGCAAGAAGTATGTAACGTTCAGGAAAAAATTTTGTTTACAAATTCACACCAAAAACATTTTTTAAAATTTCCACCTTTTTAATGATTTATGAAAAATTATCAAAATAAAATAAATTATGAACGTTCAGGGGGGGTTGTGAGTTGTAACATATTGTAACAAGGGGCGGGAGGGGGGTGAAAAAAGTCGTTTTTTGCGTAACGTAATTAGTGAACGGCCCCTTATGACTTCTTGCGGCTAAGTATTTCCTTAGATCCTCGCCCAATATTTTTTAAAACCCGTACAAATGTTCAACGAAACAATAAGCAATTGTACAGTTTTGAGATTCAAATCTTAAATATCCGTTAAAATTCATAATTAACAAAACTCCCGAAATTATTTTCCATTAATTCTATTATTTTGTAATTTTCAAGAGATTTTTGCGCTTTTATTTCTCTCCATCCGAAAATTTGACATCAACTTTCATCAGACAATGTATTAATCTAGCCTAAAGTCTAGACATTCTGAACTCAAATCGCAATAATAAAGAATAATAATTTTTGAATATCACAAACAAAAAATGATACAGAATTGCCAATGTCAGGCGAACGAGGAAAGAAAATCGATGAACGTCTTTGTCAACAAATCTCATGTTAATTTTAGACACAATCTAGTTATATTTAATACAACTTTTTACTTTTCCGCTACAGAAAATGCAAAGAATTTGTTTTTGTGCATTTTCATTTTCATTTTTTTTATTTTTAGTGCTGTTGCAGCTACTGAATTTTCATTTTTTGCTTTAATAGGACTTTTCTTCCTCTCTGTGTAAATGGCTTGATACTTGTTGGGTGGATTGTTCAAAAAAAATGTTTCATTACAAAAAATAATGATAATTGAAAAAATAAAAAAAGTTTTTTTTTGGGAACATTCCAAAAAATCACGGGCAAAACTGTGCCTGTACGTTATTAATTCTATGTCATGCATGTATTTATATAATAAAAGTTCCTTCCTCTCGTGCTTCCTACAGTCGATTGTCTTGATTTTTTTTTTGTTTATGGCACTTTGTTCTCCTGTGAATGTTTACAACTGGTTTCCTTAACCTTTTGCGAATTTATGAATGATTGACTTATTATGTGCCAAGATCATGAGGCCTGCATCTGTTTTTAAGCGATTTAGAATTGTTTCTATTGAATTAGGTTTCATTCATAGATGATGTCCAATTTCAGACTCCATTCTTTGTCTTGACCTCTCCCAAGGAGCTTGTAAGTTTTTGGCGTCAAAATAAGCAGCTTAAAATAGTTTTCGTTCTTCTCATTTTCTACTTACAAATTAAACTTGTAGCCGACTGATGTAACTCAAAAGTAAGGATCCAGTTGACATAGCATTACCTGCTTTCAACTGACCTTATGTAATTTGGCGCCAAAGTTCATTTCAATCCAGGGTTGCGATAAAGGCACCTGTGCACAGGTACAATTCCCTAATAATTTATAAGGTGGAGTTTTCTCCCAACCTTGGAATGAGGAGGTTGTGGAATTGTGCAATACTTCAAAATTAATTAATTACGCGTAGGGATAAGTCACAAACCTACGAGAACTGTCTTCAAAGTAACAAAGAACAAAGATACCAAGGAGAAAACTCAGCAAAGTCGCGATTTAATTAAATTTTGGATATAAATTGAAATTGAAAAAAAAAATGTGCAAATTTTGCACATAACCTAGATAAAACGGAATTGATCATCATCGGAATACCAAAGAACATTTAATTACATTGACAAATCACGATCGGTGGCAGTTGTGAGGAGAATCAACTGTTTCACGTGGGTTTTTTGTGTTTTACCAACAATCATGGACAAGAAGGTTCTATCATAACCAGGGTGGGGAGAATTTCATGAGTTAACTCACAATTCAAAATTCAAAAAATGAATTTGAGTTAAAATTCCGTTACAAAATGAGTTTGAAAATGAATTTGAATTTAACTCATTTTTGAAAATGAGTTTTTTTTTTGAGTTTGAGTTTAAACTCATTTTCAAAAGGAGTTGAAAAATGAATTTGAGTTTAAACTCATCTGTAAAATTGAGTGGAGTTTTGAATTGGAGTTTTAAAAACTCCCTAAATTCCTTTTCATATAAAATTCATCTCTAAAACTCTCAACGATTTTTTTAAGAGTTGCCAGTTTTGCCTGAATTTCTCGAAAGGATCATTTCATAATTCTTGCTGCATATTTTGGATGTTTTGGTTGCAATTCTGTTCAGAATTTTTGGAAGATAATGAAGGAATAAGAGTTTATGGATTTGAGGAAATCACTGGATGACAAAAATGTTCATGCATTTGCTGTACATTTTATTACTGGATCTTTTGGTTCCAAATGTTTGCAATAAATGTTAAAGTAAGCAATGATTTTCAGAACTTTCACAGAAAAATGTTCATTATGCGATTCTTTCACTTACTGTGCCATTATGGCTTTAGAAAAGGATGTCCACGTAACTGGACATGATCATTCATGACTGGATGTAGCTGCATATGAAGATCCGATCACTTACAATGCTTCAAAAACTTTTTTTCAGCAATTTTCAGCAACCAAGTATTCCAAATTGTTTAAAATAACACAGAGGATCCATAGGCATTGGAACTGCCTGGTTCCATTACATCCATAAAAAAATTTTTTGTTCCATTTTCATCAAGGAATAACCTCCTGAAACAAAAAATTTTTTTGGGGAACCGACCAGTTCCTTAGTGCCTGAAGACTGAAAATGCTCAGAAATAGTGCTTCATGCTAATTGACTTCATATTTAGCATTTTTAGTCTCCAGGCACTAAAGGAACTGGTCGGTTCCTCAAAAAAATTTTTTGTTTCAGGAGGTTATTCCTTGATGAAAATGGAACAAAAAATTTTTTTATGGATGTAATGGAACCAGGCAGTTCCAATGCCTATGGATCCTCTGTGTTATTTTAAACAATTTGGAATACTTGGTTGCTGAAAATTGCTGAAAAAAAGTTTTTGAAGCATTGTAAGTGATCGGATCTTCATATGCAGCTACATCCAGTCATGAATGATCATGTCCAGTTACGTGGACATCCTTTTCTAAAGCCATAATGGCACAGTAAGTGAAAGAATCGCATAATGAACATTTTTCTGTGAAAGTTCTGAAAATCATTGCTTACTTTAACATTTATTGCAAACATTTGGAACCAAAAGATCCAGTAATTAAATGTACAGCAAATGCATGAACATTTTTGTCATCCAGTGATTTCCTCAAATCCATAAACTCTTATTCCTTCATTATCTTCCAAAAATTCTGAACAGAATTGCAACCAAAACATCCAAAATATGCAGCAAGAATTATGAAATTATCCTTTCGAGAAATTCAGGCAAAAATGGCAACTCTTAAAAAAATCGTTGAGAGTTTCAGAAATGAATTTTATATGAAAAGGAATTTAGGGAGTTTTTAAAACTCCAATTCAAAACTCCACTCAATTTTACAGATGAGTTTAAACTCAAATTCATTTTCTAACTCATTTTGAAAAATGAGTTTAAACTCAAACTCAAAAAAAACTCATTTTGAAAAATGAGTTTAAACTCAAACTCAAAAAAAAACTCATTTTCAAAAATAAGTTAAATTCAAATTCATTTTCAAACTCATTTTGCAACGGAATTTTAACTCAAATTCATTTCAAAACTCATTGGAAAATGAGTTTGAATTTGAGTTTTGAGTTAACTCCCCACCCTGATCATAACCATAACCTAGACATATTGAATATTATTGGAATACAACGGATTATCGTCAATTGTGAGGAGAATTTGTCTCGCAATGGGTTTTGTGTGTTTCCCCATATATCACGGGCAAGTTCTATCAATCAATTGGTGCTGACTGGATTTCAACAAATCAACATTGACAAA